AAACCATCGTTTACATCAAACTTTCAACGTGGATTAATGTGTGTGTGTGGGTGTGTCCTTTGCAACTATCTACAACGACTTTAGAATGACCCGGTTGCTGTTTACAAATTGGTTGAGTTTAGTCACTTTGTTCAGAACAGAGCAGCAGGTAATACACAAATAAATGAAACAATAAAATAATACACAAGACACAAAACGGTACCGACCGGATTCCTGTCACAGCACTGGTCGTGTCTCGCACTGCTCCGCTACCGTTCCCGAGAGATATCTAACACACCTTTGTTTAAAGACAACTGAATAACTACAGACAAACCTCTTTTTTAAGAAAAACAACTCCTTATATGGTTATATCCATAATATGTTTCAATTTCAATTCTCCCTTTAACCACAAGGACTTTCCGTGTCCCTGTACGTCCTGACCTTATATTGCCATTGTTTTGGGTTCTGCCTTCAGTCACTGAGCTTTGCCGCCTTTGCACTTCTATTTTAGATTCTTGAACCACACTTTAACATTAACCCAAGACAACAGTTTGTATGTATGTCTCTGTGTGTGTGTGTGTGTGTCAGTGCATGTGTCTGTGTATGTGTGTGATTGTGTATGTATGTCTGTGTGTGTGTGTCAATGCATATGTGTGTGTGTCTGTTTACGTGTCTCTGTGTATGTGTGCGTTTGCCTGTGTATGTGGGTCTGTGTGCTTCTGTGAGTGCTTTCGTAAGTGTGTGTGTTTGTCTGTGTGAGAGATTGTTTGTGTGTGTGTTTGTCTTTGTTTCTGTGTTTGTGTTTGTGTGTGTGTTTTTGAGTATATCTGTACATATATTTTGTGTCTCTCTGTCTGTGTGTGTTTGTCTCTGCAGAGTTTTTTGTCTCTCAGTGTGTAATTGTGTTCGACTGTGTTTGCTTCTGTGACTTTGTGCTTGTGTGTGGGTGTGTGTGTCAGAGCCTTGGGACGTCCGACATGAAAGGCGATATACAACTGTAATCTTGTTGTTGTTGTTGTGTGCGTTTGTGTATGTTACTGTGAGTGTGTGCGATTGTGTGCTTGTGTGTGTTCTGTGAGTGTGTGCGATTCTGTGTGTGTTTGTGTGTGTTCCTGTGAGTGTGTACGATTGTGTGTGTGTGTTTGTGTGTGTTCCTGTGAGTGTGTGCGATTGTGTGTGTTTGTGTGTGTGTATCCCAGAGTTCAAGATCGTCGTCCTCACCTTTAAGGCCATCCATGGCCTCGCCCCCTTCTCCCCTCTCTGACCTGCTGACTCCCTACCAACCTGCCCGCTCCCTCCGTCGTGGGCTCCGGACTGTTCCATGTCTCCCGCCCGACCCGCCCTCCCATCGGTGTCCGGGCTTTCAGCCTCTCTGCCCCACACTCTGGAACTCCATCCCACGGTCCCTTCCCCTCACTTCCTCTCTTGACTCCTTCAAGGTCGGTCTCAAGACCCTTCTCCGATCGTGCCTTTGGTCTCCCTCCCACCTCTCTGCCTTCCCTCACTCCTACCCCACCCCTCTCCCTCGCTACCCCTCCCCACCCCTCTCCCACCCTCCCACCCTCGCCACCCCTCCCCACCCCTCCCCCATGCTCAAGCTCCGACACATGATTTTTTAGCGCTTTGGGACGTCCTGCCGATGTGAAAGGCGCTCTGTAAATGCAATTTTATTGATGTTATTGTGTATTTTCGTGTGTGTGTTTGTGTGTGTGTGAGTGTGTGCGTATCTGCGGTTATGTGCGTGGTTGTGTCTGTGTGCTTGCACGTTTGTGTGTTTGGTTGTGTGTATGTGTATTTATGTTTGTGTGTTTTTCTGTGTGTGTTTGTGTGTGGGTGTTTGCGTAGGTTTGTCTGTGTGAATCTATGTATATGTATTTATGTCTGTGTTTGTATTTGATTTTGTGTTTGTTTGTTTGTGTGTTTTTGAGTCTGTGTCTGTTTGTCTTCATGTATGTTTGTATGTGTGTGATTGTGTGTTGTGTTTTTGTGCGTATTTGTGAGTTTGTTTTTGTGTTTCTTTGTGTGTTTCTGTGTGTATTTGTGCGTGTGTTTTCGCGTGTATGTCTGTGTATGTGTATTTGTGTGTGTACGTGTGTGCTTTTTCTGTGTGTGTGTGTTTACGTGTATGTTTGCATGTGTTTGTGTGTGTGTCCGTTTGTTTGTGTTTCTGTGAGTGCATGTGTTTGTTTCTGTGTGTTTCTCTGTGTATGCGTGTGTGTGTATCACTGTGTGTGTATTTGTCTGTTCGACATGTGTTTGTTTGTGTGTGTATGGGTGTGTTTCATGAGTGTGTTGGCATGTGTGTCTGTGTGTGTGTGTGTGTGTACTTGTCTGTGGGTCATGTGTTTGTGTGTGTATGTATGTATTTATGTGTGTGTTTGTGTGCCATTTTGTTTATGTTTGCATGTGTGCTTGTGTGAGTGATTGTGCTTATGTTAGTGTTTGAGTGTGTGTTGGCGTATGTTCGATTTTGTGTGTATGAGGTTTTGAGTGCTTTTGTGAGTGTGTGTGTGTTTCTGTGTATGCGTGTGAGTTTGTGTGTGTGTATATTTGTGTGTGTTTGTGTTTATCTATGTATGTCTATCTATATGTGTGTGTTTGTTTGTACATTATGTTCTTCTGTTGGTGTTTGTGTGTTTTTGAGTGTGTCTTTATGTGTGTTTGTATGTTTGCGGGTGTTTGTATGTGCGTGTTTGTGAGTCTGTTTTCGTGTACGTTTGTTTGTGTGTTTCTGTGTGTGTGTATTTGTGTGTGTTCGTGTGAATGTTTATGTATGTTTATGTGTGTATGCGTGTTTGTGTGTGCGTGTGTATTTTTCTGTGTATGTGTCTGTGTGTGGTTGTGTATGTGTGCATATGTGTGTGCTTATGTGTGAATGATTGATTGTTTGTGTGTGTGTTTGTGTTTGCTTGTGTGAGTTTCTGTGTGTGTGTGTTTGCGTACGTATGTGTTTGCGTGGGTGAGTTTCTGGGTGTGATTGTATATGTTTCTGTGTGAGCGCGTCTGTGTGAGAGTGTTTGTGTGTTTGTTTGTCTGCATGTGTGAGTGTGTGTATTTATGTTTGTATGTGTGTGTCTGTGTGTGTCTGTGCGTGGGTCTCCCTGGTTATGTGACTCTGTTTGTGTGTGTTTGTGTGTATTTATCTGTAGGTCATATGTTTTTGTTGGTGTGTATTTCTGTGTGGGTCATATGTTTGTGTGTATTTGTTTCTGTGAGAGTAAGTGTGTATCTGCGGCGATGTTATGATCTGTGTTTGTGTGTGTTGGTGTGTGTGTTTGTGTGCATGAACTCCTGCAACCTGTCCGGCATCAAACAAATTGTGAGTGTCAGTGGGTTATACTCACTGTGTTTACTCTGATCCCTGTCATGTCTCTGTGTCTCTGATCTCAAGGCTGAACAGTAACAGTCTGACCGATGTCTGCACTGATGATCTGGTCTCCGCTCTCAGTACAAACCGCTCACTGAGGTTCCTGAACCTGGAGTCTAACACCTTCACAGACGGCTCTGTACCCGCTCTCCGCCGCCTCATACAGACCTGCACCAGTCTGGAGGGGATCTGGTGAGTGTTTGTGTCAGTGTTTAATGTGATAAACACACAGAGAAAGGGCTGCGTATCAGAATGGGAACAGTTTGAGGGGATTTATGTATGTATTAAACTGCGACACGAACAGTTAAAAGTTTGTACCGTTATCCCATGGGTTTATTTCCTGTTTAATGTGTTTCAGGCTTTTGGAGAATAGGTTCAGTTCAGACGGAGAGAATCAGTTGGAGTCACTGCGGGGAATCAGACCTGGACTGTCAGTGTCAGTGTGACACTGACTGAGGCAGTGACTGTCCACACAGTCTGGGTAATATGGAATGTATTCTGGACACTGTAGTGACTGATTATTAAAGATGTTGATCCTGATTCCTCTCCCATCTCTGCTCTGTGGACCGTTATTGACACACACCGCCTACGGGCGTGCGGGCGGCTGGAAAGCCCCGAGCCCCAGTCACTGCTAAACTGCTGTAAGCGACCACAACTAATGCACTTTCTCTCACAGTCTCTCTCTCTCTCCCTCTCTGTGTGTCAGTCTCTCTCAGTTTATATATTTCCGTCTCTCTATTTCCTTCTCTCTCTTTCATTGTCTTTCTTAGTCTCCGTCTCTCTCTCTCTCTGTATCTCTCTCTCTCTCTCTATGTGTGTGTTTGCCTCAGTCAGTGCTTGTCTGAGATAGTGGGCGAGAGAGCAGTCAGTGTGTGTGTCTGTGTGTGAGAGAAGTCAGTGTGTGTGTGTGAGAGCAGTCAGTGTGTGTGAGAGAGTGAGAGCAGTCAGTGTGTGTGTGTGGGAGAGCAGTCAGTGTGTGTGTGTGTGGGAGAGCAGTCAGTGTGTGTGTGGGAGAGCAGTCAGTGTGTGTGTGTGTGTGAGAGAGAGAGCAGTCAGCGTGTGTGTGTGTGTGTGAGAGAGTAGTCAGTGTGTGTGTGTGAGAGCAGTCAGTGTGTGTGTGTGTGTGAGAGAGAGAGAGCAGTCAGTGTGTGCGTGTGTGTGAGAGAGCAGTCAGTGTGTGTGAAAGAGCAGTCAGTGATTGTGTGTGTGTGAGAGCAGTCAGTGTGTGTGTGGGAGAGCAGTCAGTGTGTGTGTGTGTGTGTGAGAGAGAGAGAGAGAGAGCAGTCAGTGTGTGCGTGTGTGTGAGAGCAGTCAGTGTATGTGAAAGAGCAGTCAGTGAGTGTGTGTGTGTGAGAGCAGTCAGTGTGCGTGTGGGAGAGCAGTCAGTGTGTGTGTGTGAAAGAGAGAGAGAGCAGTCAGTGTGTGCGTGTGTGTGAGAGCAGTCAGTGTGTGTGAAAGAGCAGTCAGTGAGTGTGTGTGTGTGAGAGCAGTCAGTGAGTGTGTGTGTGTGTGAGGCATTCAGTATGTGTGTGAGAGCAGTCAGTGTGTGTGTGTGAGTAGTCAGTGTGTGTGTGAGAGACCAGTTAGTATGTGTGTGTGTGTGAGCAGTCAGTGTGTGTGTGAGAGAGCAGTTAGTGTGTGTGGGGGGGGGGGGGGGGGGGGGGGAGAGCAGTCACTATGTGTGTGGCGGAGAGCAGTCAGTGTGTGTGTATGTGATCAGTCAGTGTGTGAGAGCAGTTAGTGTGTGTGTGTGAGGCAGTCAGTGTGTGTGAGAGCAGTCACTATGTGTGTAGGTGTGTGTGTGTGAGAGAGCAGTTAGTGTGTGTGTGGTGTGTGAGCAGTCAGTGTGTGTGAGAGCAGTCAGTATTTGTGTAGGTGTGTGTGTCTATGTGAGAGCAGTCAGTATGTGTGTATGAGACAGAGCAGTCAGTGTGTGTCTGTTTGAGAGAGCAGTCAGTGTGTGTGTGAGAGAGCACTCAGTGTGTGTGTGTGAGAGAGAGCAGTCAGTGTGTGTGTGAGAGAAAGCTGTCTGTGTGTGTGTGTGAGAGAGCAGTCAGTGTGTGTGTGTGAGAGAGCAGTCAGTGTGTGTGTGTGAGAGCAGTCAGTGTGTGTGTGTGTGTGGAGAGTAGTCAGTGTGTGTGTGTAAGAAAGCAATCAGTATGTGTGTGTGTGAGAGAGCAGTCAGTGTGTGTGTATGAGAGAACAGTCAGTGTGTGTGTGTGTGTGAGAGAGAGAGCAGTAAGGGTGTGTGTGAGAGAAAGCTGTCTGTGTGTGTGTGAGAGAGCAGTCAGTGTGTGTGTGTGTGTGTATGAGAGAGCAGTCAGTGATGTGTAAGAGAGCAGTCAGTGTGTGTGTTTGTGTGTGAGAGAGTAGTCAGTGTGTGTGTGAGAGACCAGTCAGTCTGTGTGTGTAAGAAAGCAGTCAGTATGTGTGTGTGTGTGTGAGAGAGCAGTCAGTGTGTGTGTGTGTATGAGGGAGCAGTCAGTGTGTGTGTAAGAGAGCAGTCAGTGTGTGTGTGTGTGTGAGAGAGCAGTCAGTGTGTGTGTGTTTGTGTGTGAGAGAGGAGTCAGTGTGTGTGTGAGAGACCAGTTAGTGTGTGTGTGAGAGCAGTCAGTGCGTGTGTGTGAGAGAGCAGTCAGTGTGTGTGTGTGAGAGCAGTCAGTGTGTGTGTGTGAGAGCAGTCAGTATGTGTGTGTTTGTGTGTGTGTGAGTGGGAGAGCAGTCAGTGTGTGTGTGTGTGTGAGCAGTCAGTGTGTGTGAGAGAGCAGTTAGTGTGTGGTGTGTGTGTGTAAGCAGTGTGTGTGAGAACAGTCAGTATTTGTGTAGGTGTGTGTGTCTGTGAGAGCAGTCAGTATGTGTGTATGAGAGTGAGTAATCAGTGTGCGTGTGAGAGAGAGAGAACAGTCAGTGTGTGTGTGAGAGAACAGTCAGTGTGTGTGTGAGAGAACAGTCAGTGTGTGTGTGTGAGAGAGCAGTCAGTGTGTGTGTGTGTGTGTGAGAGAGAGCAGTCAGTGTGTGTGAGAGAGTAGTCAGTGTGTGTGTGTGAGAGCAGTCAGTGTGTGTGTGTGTGGGGGGGGGGGGGGGAGAGCAGTCAGTATGTGCGTGGCGGAGAGCAGTCAGTGTGTGTGTATATGTGAGGGAATTCGCTCCGCGGTCACTTCCCCTCCAACATCCACCAACCCCCCACCCCCTCACTCCCAACCTCCGAATGCCACCCATCCTCCCCTACTCACTTTTGTACCCGTTTCCCCACCTTCTGTCAACAAACTCATCCTATCCCTGAAACCAACCACCTGCTCCCTTGACCCCATCCCCACTCCATTCCTTATCTCCCAGCTCCACTTTCTTGCCCCACATATCACCGACGTCATCAACCTGTCCCTCTCCTCTGGCTCTGTCCCCATTCCCTTAAAAACTGCCATCATCACGCCCACCCTGAAAAAACCCTCCCTTGATGCGTCGCAGCTTTCAAGCTACCGGCCCATCTCCAACCTTCCCTTTCTCTCCAAGGTCCTGGAAAGCGTTGTCGCCTCCCAACTGCGCTCTTTCCTCTCCGCCAATTCACTATTCGAAACCCTTCAGTCGGGTTTCCGTGCTGCCCATAGCTCAGAAACTGCCCTGGTCAAGGTCACCAATGATATCCTGACCATCTGTGACCAGGGCTCCCTCTGCCTCCTCGTCCTCCTCGACCTATCGGCAGCATTCGATACGGTCGACCACGCTATCCTACTCCACCGCTTGTCCTCCCACCTCAACCTTCAAGGCACTGTCCTTGAGTGGTTTAATTCGTACCTTTCTCACCGTCTTCACTTTGTCTCGACGAATGGCTTCTACTCCACCCCCCGTACTGTCTCATGTGGAGTCCCTCAGGGCTCTGTCCTCGGTCCCCTCCTCTTCACCCTCTATATGCTCCCCCTGTGGTGGCATCATCCGCAGACATGGAGTTAACTTCCACATGTATGCGGATGACACCCAAATCTACCTTTCCTCCTCTACTCTCAAATCCACGACCACCGACGTCCTGACAGCTGTCTGTCCAACATCGAGTCTTGGACGAGAGACAACTTTCTTCAGCTCAACGTGCGCAAAACCGAGGCTCTCCTGATTGGCTCACGTCAGCGCCTCCGCACCTCAGGCGCCGACACCATCAGCATCCAAGGCTGCACTCTCCACCTCTCAAAGCCGTCAGGAACCTCGGCGTTTTGTTCGACCCTGAGCTGTCCTTTCTCCCTCACATCCGCACCACAACTGGCACCGCCTTCCATCACCTCCGGAACATCGCCAGACTACGGCACTACCTCACCCCTCACGCGGCTGAAACTCTGGTCCACGCCTTCATCAACTCAAGGCTGGACTATAGGAACTCTCTCTTCGCGGCCTTCCCGCCACCTCCCTCCACACTGCAGGTCATTCAGAACTCTGCAACTCGTGTACTGTCCCGCACCACACACCGCGACCACATCACTCCCACCCTCGCTCCCCTCCACTGGCTCCCCATCCCCCAGAGGATCGAATTCAAGATACTCATCCTCACCTACAAGGCCATTCACGGCCTTGCTCCCTCCTACCTCTCCAACCTACTATCCCCCTACCTACCTGCCCGTACCCTCCGTTCCTCTGGCTCCGGTCTGCTCCACGTCCCCTACTATCGGTGGTCGGGCCTTCAGCCTCTCAGCCCCCAGGCTCTGGAACTCCATCCCCCAGTGCCTTCGCCTTGCTTCCTCCCTTTCCTCCTTCAAGGCCGGTCTCAAAACCTTTCTCTTTGACCGAGCCTTCAGCTCCACTCTCGACTCTCTTTCTCCTCCTCGCTCCCTCCCTTCCCTCCCCTCACCCTGACCATTTCCCCCCTCCTCTCTCCCTCCCTTCCCTCCCCCTGACCATTTCCCCCCTGCTCGGGTCATGACCCAACTGTGCAGCGCCTTGGGACGTCCTCCTGACGTGAAAGGCGCTTTATAAATGGAATCTTGTTGTTGTTGTTGCTCTCCCCCCCACACACACTGACTGCTCACATACACACACACTAACTGCTCTCTCTTACACGCACACCTACACACATACTGACTGCTCTCACACACACTGACTGCTCTCCCACACACGCACACACTGACTGCTTTCAAACACACTGACTGCACTCACACACACACATACTGACCGCTCTCACACACACACACACACTAACTGCTCTCTCACACACAAACACACACACACACACTGACTGCTCTCACACACATACACATACATACATACTGGCTGCTCTCACACACACACACACATACTGACTGCTCTCACACAAACACAATGACTGCTCTCACTCCACACACACACACTGACTGCTCTCCCCCCCACACACACATACACACATACTGACTTCTTTCACACACAATGACTGTTCTCCCACACACACACAGATACGCACACTGACTGCACACACACACACTGACTACTCTCTCTCACTCACACACACACACTGACTACTCTCTCTCTCACACAAACACACACACACTGACTGTTCTCTCTCTCTCCCTCTCTCTCACACACACACACACACACACACACTGACTGCTCACATACACACACACTAACTGCTCTCACACACACACTAACTGCTCTCTCACACACACACTAACTGCTCTCTCACACACACACCTACACATACTCTGACTGCTCTCACACACACATACTGACTGCCACACACACATACACACACACACTGACTGCTCACACACACACACACAGACTACTCTCTCTCACACACACTGACTGCTCTCACACACACACACTGACTGCTCTCTCTCACACACACACACGCACTGACTGCTCTCACACACACACACTGACTGCTCTCTCTCTCACACACACACAAACACACTGACTGCTCTCACACACACACACACACACACACACTGACTGCTCTCTCTCTCTCACACACACACACTGACTGCTCTCTCTCTCACACACACACACACACTGACTTCTCTCTCTCTCACACACACACACACTGACTGCTCTCACACACACACACACACTGACTGCTCTCTCTCTCTCTCACACACACACACACACTGACTTCTCTCTCTCTCTCTCACATACACACACACTGACTGCTCTCTCTCTCTCTCACACACACACACTGACTGCTCTCACACACACACACACTAACTGCTCTCTCACACACACACTGACTGCTCTCTCTCACACACACACACAACACACACACTGACTGCTCTCTCACACACACACTGACTGCACTCCCCCCCTCACACACAAACACACACACATACTGACGGCTCTCACATAGTCACACTCACCTACACACATACTGACTGCTCTCTCACACACACAAAACTACACACATACTGACTGCTCTCTCACACACATACTGACTGCTCTCTCACACACACACAACTACACACACACTGAATGCTCTCTCACACACACACACAACTACACACATACTGACTGCTCTCTCGCACACACACTGACTGCTCTCCCCCCCACACACACTGACTGCCTCACACACACATACACTGAATGCTCTCAAACACGCTGATTGCTCACATAAACACACACTAACTGCTCTCTCTCACACACACTGACTGCCTCACACACACATACAATGACTGCTCACACACACACACACACACACACTGACTGCTCTCCCACACACACACATACACTGACTGCTTTCACACACACTGACTGCCTCACACACACACACACACTCACTGACTGCTCTCCCACACACATACATACACACACTGACTGCTCTCATTCTCTCACGCACACTAATCTTCTCTCTCTCTCACACAGACTGACTGCTCTCTCGCCCACTATCTCATAGCGAAGCACTGACTCAGGCAAACACACACACACAGACACACACACACACAGAGAGAGAGAGAGAGAGACGGAGACTAAGAGAGACAATGAAAGAGAGAGACTGAAATAGAGAGACGGAAATATAAAAACTGAGAGAGACTGACACACAGAAAGAGAGAGCCTGTGAGAGAAAGTGCATCAGTTGTGGTCGCTTACAGCAGTTTAGCAGTGACTGAGGGTCGGGGCTCTCCAGCCGCCCGCACGGCCGTAGGCGGTGTGTGTCAATAACGGTCCCCAGAGCAGAGATGGAAGAGGAATCAGGATCAACATCTTTAATAATCAGTCACTACAGTGCACAGAATTTATTCCATATTACACAGACTGTGTGGACAGTCACTGCCTCAGTCAAAAAGGGGAGAATTGCACTCTCAGCTCAGCTCTGATTCTCCGCAGTGACTTCAGTTGATTCTTTCCGTCTGAACTGAACTCATTCCCCCACAGCCTGAAAACACATGGAAATAAACCCATGGGTTAATGGTACAAACTGTAAACTGTTCGTGTCGCAGTTTAATACATAAACAAATCCCTTCAAACTGTTCCCATTCTGATACACAGCCCTTTCTCTGTGTGTTTATCACATTAAACACTGACACAAACACTCACCAGATCCCCTCCAGACTGGTGCAAGTCTGTATGAGGCGGCAGAGAGCGGGGACAGAGCCGTCTGTGAAGGAGTTAGACATCAGGTCCAGGTCCCTCAGTGAGCGGTTTGTACTGAGAGCGGAGACCATATCATCAGTGCAGTCATCGGTCAGTCTGTTACTGTGCAGCCTTGAGATCAGAGACACAGAGACATGACAGGGATCAGAGTAAACACAGTGTATAACCCACTGTCACTCACAGTTTGTTTGATGCCGGACAGGTTGTCGGAGTTCATACACACAAACACACACACACACCAACACACACAAACACAGACAAAAACATTGCCGCAGATACACACTTACTCTCACACACACAAATACACACAAACACATGACCCACAGAAAAATACGCACAAACAGTCACATAAACAGAGAGACGCGCACACAGACACACACATACACACCTAAATACACAAAACACACAAGCACTCTCACACAAACGCGCTCACACAGAAACATGCACAACCACACCCAAAAACACACCCACGCAAACACATCCGTACGCAAACACACACACAGAAACTCACACAAGCAAACACAAACACACACACAAACAATCAATCATTCACACAAACGCACACACATATGCGCACAAACACAACCGCACACAAACACACACACAGAAAAAAACCCACGCACGCACAAACACGCATACACACACAAACATACATAAACATTCACACAAACACACACAAATACACACACACAGAAACAAACAAACAAACAAACGTACACGAAAACAGACTGACAAACACGCACACACAAACACCCGCAAACATACAAACGCACATAGAGATACACTCAAAAACACACAAACACAAAAAGTACATCATGTACAAACAAACACACACATATAAATACACATACGTGGATACACAAAAACACACACAAATATACACACACACAAACTGACACGCGCACACAGAAACACACAACCACACACACACACTCACAAATGCACTGACAAATTCATAAACAGAAAATCGAACACACGCCAACACACACATACGCAAACATAAGCACAATCACTCACACAAGCACACAAACATAAACAAAATGGCACACAAACCCACACACATACATGAACATACACACATAAACAAACACATGACCCACAGACAAATACACTCAGTCATACACACAAACAAACACATAAATACTACACACACACACAAACACATTACCCACAGACAAGTAGACATACACACAAACACACACGTAAACACACTCATGCAAGCACACACACATACACACACAAACAAACACATGTCGCACAGACAAACACACACACACAAACAGAGAGATACAGACACATAGACAATCATACACAGAGAAACACAAAGAAACAAACACACACTCACAGAAACTCAAACAAACGGACACACACAAACACACGCAAACATATAGGTAAACAGACACACGCAGAAAAAAGCACACAATTACACACACACATTGGCATACACAAACATACAGAACCAAACACGCGAAAACACACGCACAAATACACAAAGAAACACACAAACAAAGACACACAAAAACAAACTCACAAATACGCACACAGAAAAACACAACACACAGTCACACACACACACATAGAAACACACATAAAGACAAACCGACACACACTCAAAAACACATAGACAAACAAAGAAATATAAAATCAAATACAAACACAGACATAAACACATACATAGATTCACATAGACAAACATACGCAAACACACACACACACAACACACACAGAAAAACACACAAACATAAGTACACATACACACAACCAAACACACAAACGTGCAAGCACACAGACACAACCACGCACATACCCGCAGATGCGCACACACACTCACACACACAAACACACACACGCAAATACACAATAACATCAATACAATTGCATTCACAGAGCGCCTTTCACGTCGGCAGGACGTCCCAAAGCGCTGAACAGTCAGGTGTCGGGGCCTGAGCATGGGGAGGGGTGGGGAGGGGTGGGGAGGGGTGGCGAGGGGTGGCGAGGGGTGGGGGAGGGTGGGGAGGGGTGGCGTGGGGTGGGGGAGGGGTGGCGAGGGGTGGCGGAGTGGTGGGGTAGGAGTGAGGGAAGGCAGAGAGGTGTGAGGGAGACCAAAGGCTCGATCGAAAAGAAGGGTCTTGAGACCGACCTTGAAGGAGACAAGAGAGGAAGTGAGGGGAAGGGACCGTGGGATGGAGTTCCAGAGAGAAGGGGCAGAGAGGCGGAAAGCCCGGACACCGATGGGAGGGCGGGTCGGGCGGGAGACATGGAGCAGCCCGGAGCCCACTGGACGGAGGGAGCGGACAGGTTGGTAGGGAGTCAGCAGGTCAGAGAGGGGAGGAGGGGGCGAGGCCATGGATGGCCTTAAAGGTGAGGATGATGATCTTGAACTCGATCCTCTGGGATACACACACACAATCGCACACACTAAAACAAACACATACTCACAGAAACACACACAAACAAACACACACTCACAGAAACACAAACAAACGGACACACACAAAAACACAAACATACACGTAAACAAACGCACACGCAGAAAAAAGCACACAATTACACACACACACATACACAGGCATACACAAACATACATAACCATATACGCGAAAACACACGCACAAATACACACAGAAACACACAAACAAAGACACACAAAAACAAACTCACAAATACGCACATACATAAACACAACACACAATCACACACATACACATAGAATTATACATAAAGACAAACAGACACACACTCAAAAACACACAAACAAACAAAGAAACACAAAATCAAATACAAACACAGACATAAAAACACATACATAGATTCACACAGACAAACATACGCAAATACATACACACAAGCACACACAAAACACCCACACACAAACACACACACAAAACACCCTCAAACAAACAAAAACAGAACAACGCACAAATGGAAATACACATACACACAACCAAACACACAAACGTGTAAGCACACAGACACAACCACGCACATACCCGCAGACACGCGCACACACTCACACACACACAAACACACACACGCAAATGCAAAATAACATCAATAAAATTGCATTTACGGAGCGCCTTTCACGTCGGCAGGACGTCCTAAAGCGCTGAACAGTCAGGTGTCGGGGCCTGAGCATGGGGGAGGGGTGGGGGAAGGGTGGGGAGGGGTGGGGGAGGGGTGGGGAGGGGTGGGGGATGGTGGGGAGGCGTGAGGGAGGGTGGCGAGGGGTGGGGAGGGGTGGGGGAGGAGTGGGGGAGGGCTGGCGAGGGGTGGGGGAGGGGTGGCGAGGGGTGGGGGAGGGGTGGGGTAGGAGTGAGGGAAGGCAGAGAGGTGGGAGGGAGACCAACGATCCGATCGAAGTGAAGGGTCTTGAGACCGACCTTGAAGGAGACAAGAGAGGAAGTGATGGAAAGGGACCGTGGGATGGAGTTCCAGAGTGTGGGGCAGAGAGGCTGAAAGTCCGGACACCGATGGGAGGGCGGGTCGGGCGGGAGACATGGAGCAGCCCGGAGCCCACTGGACGGAGGGAGTGGGCAGGTTGGTAGGGAGTCAGCAGGTCAGAGAGTGGAGGTGGGGGCGAGGCCATGGATGGCCTTAAAGGTGAGGATGACGATCTTGAACTCAATCCTCTGGGATACACACACAGAATCGCACACACTCACAGGAACACACACAAACACACACAACAACAACAACAACAAGATTACAGTTGTATTTCGCCTTTCATGTCGGACGTCCCAAGGCTCTGAGACACACACACACTCACAAGCACAAATTCACACAAATACACACACCAAACACACAAACACACACACAAACAAACATACACAAAAGCAAACACAGTCGAACACAAATACACACAGAGAAACAAAAACCCCGCAGAAACACACACACGCAGACAAAGACACTCAAATAAACACATCGAGACATACAATATGCAAAGATATACTCAAAAACACACACACAAACACAAACACAGAATCAAACACAAACACACACACAAACAATCGCTCACACAGATACACACACACTTACGAAAGCACTCACAAAAGCACAGACCCACATACACAGGCAAACGCACACATACACACAGACACGCAAACACACACTCACACACACAAAAGCATATGCATTGACACACACACACACAGACATACACACACGCAGTGTTGTCATCGATTAATGTTAACGTGTGGTTTAAGAATCGAAAATAGAAGTGCAAAGGCGGCAAAGCTCAGTGACTGAAGGCAGAACCCAAAACAATGGCAACATAAGGTCAGGACTTACAAGGACACAGAAAGTCCTTGTGGTTAAATGGAGAATTTAAATTGAAACATATTATGGACACAACCACACAAGGAGTTGTTTTTCTTAAAAAAAGACAGCTTTGGCTGGAGATATTAAAGTGTCTTTAAACAAAGGTGTGTTAGATATCTCTCGGGAACGGTAGCGGAGCAGAGCGAAACACGACCAGTGCTGTGACAGAAATCCGCTCGGTACCGCTTTGTGTCTTGTGTATTATTTTATTGTTTGATTTATTTGTGTATTTCCTGCTGTTTTGACCTGAATATAGTGACTGAACTCAACCAATTGGTAAACTGGAATCAGATCATTGTAAATTTGTTGGAGAGAGTTGCAAATGTTTCTAACAGCCACACAGACACAGAGACACACAGACAGAGTCACACACTCACAGACACACACATTAATCCATGTTGAGAGTTTTATGTAAACGATGGCTTGTGGCCTCACACTGTCACACCGATTCCTGTCACATTATTCAGCCGCACTGTTCAGACAGTCACAATAAACACATTGAGATATTGGAGTCATTCAGACTCTGGTGACACAGTGCGTTACTTACCACAGTCTCTGTATTTTACACTCCGGGTTCCTCAGAGCCTCACACAGTCGCTTCACTCCACAATCTCCCAGATTATTGCTCCCCAACCTGGACACAGAGACACAAACACAGGAATATAATGCAACAACAAAATACACATTGACATGTATATACAGGAGCCTTTCACGTGGGGAGCAAGTCCCAAGGCGCTGGTACCAGGGTCACACACACCCGAACATGTGCACACACACATATCACAGTCTCTCTCTCTCTAATTCTCTCTCTGTCTCTCCCTCAAAACAGTCACTACGTTTTATAATATATTCTCTTTCACCGTCTCTCTCTCTGTCTCCTTCTTTGTCTTTCACGTTTTGTCGCAGTCTCTCTCTTTCAGTTTCTTCTCTGCTTCTCCCACAAATCACAGTTGTTACACGTTATATCATCCTCTCTCTCACTGTCTCTCTCTTTCTCTCAGTCTCTCCGAGGCTGTCCCTCACTCTCTCTCTCACTCTGTATCTCTGAGTCATTTTCTCTCTCAGTCTCTCGCTCAGTCTCTTTCTCTATCTCTCCCCCAATTCCGGCCAATCTCTCCCTTTCACTCTCTCCTTAACCCTGTGGTCTGTTTCCCCCCAAAAACACAAATTCGCTACACTTTAAAATATATTTCCTCTCAGTCTTTCTCTCTCTCTCTCTCTCTCTCGATCTCTCTCTCTCTCAGTCAATCTCATTCAGTCACTATCTCTGTCTCTGTCTGTCTCACTGAGAAAACATACACTCACTGCACATTATAATATAATCTCTCTCCATTTATGTCTCACTCAGTCTCTGTCTCTCTCTCAGTATCTCTCTCAGTCGCTCTCTAAGACTATGTCTCTCCCTCTCTCTCCCTCTCTCTCGCGGTCTCTTTTGACAGTCACTCTCACAGTCTCTCCCTCTGCCTCTCTCCCAGTCGCTCATTCTCGCCCTAAAGTCTCGCTCTCTCTCAATCTCGATCTCTCACTCCCTCTCTCTCCCCCTTTCTCTCATTCTCTTAGCCTCTGTCCTTCAGTCTATCTCGCTTAGTCTCTCTAACTCTCTCCCTCTCAGCCTCTCTCTTTCTCGGTCTCTCTCTCTCTGTGTCTCTCGGACACTCTCTCTCTCTATCTGTGTCTCTCTTCCTCTCCGTCTCTCAGACTATCTTTCTGTATCGGTGTCTCTCAGTATCGCTTTCTCTCTCACTTTCACAGTCTCTCTCACTCCGTGTCTCTGAGTCACTTTGTCTCTCAGAGTCCATCTCTGTTTGTTACTCTCCCTCTGTCGCAGTCACTTTCTATCTCTCATTCTCTCACTCAGTTTGTCTCTCTCAGTCTCCCTTTCACAGTCTCTCACTCTCTCTCAGTCTCTCTCTCTCAGCCAATGGATCTATCAGTCTGAGCCACTCAGACTCTGTCTCTCTCCCAATATTTCAGTCTTTCTCAGTGACTCTCTGATTCTCTCTCCTCCTTCCTTTCTGCTCTCTTTTTCTCTCACGCTGTCTCTTTCCTTCTTTTTGTCAATTTCTCTCACTGACTCTCTGTTTTTCTCTCTCTCTCACTCTCTCTCTATCTCTTCTCGCAATAACTCACTGTCATCCATAAAACACAGTGTCACTTTACTTTGTAATATCCCTCTCACAGTCTCGCTCTTTCTACGTGTTTCTCTATCATTCTCTTTCTGGGTCTCTCGCTCTTTATTTTCTCTCATTCAGTCTCCCACTCTGTCTGTCTTTCTCTCAGTATTTCTCTCTCTCAGTCTCCCTCTTAGTTTCTTTCTCACAGTCTCTATCTGATTCTCTTTCTCTTTCTCTTCTCTCAGTCTGTCTCTCTCAGTCTCACTCTTTACGTTTCACTTTCTATCAGTCTCTGTCTTTGTCTCTCGCTCGATTTTTCGCTACTCAGTCTCCATTCATTATCTGCCTCTCATTCTCTCTTTCTGCCTCTGTCTCTTAGTCCCTCTCACAAAAAAGTCACTACACGTTATATTTCTTCTCCCCTCGTCTCTCTCTTTCTCATTCCATCTCTCTCTGTCTTTCTCCCAGTCTCTGTATCTCTCTGTCCGTCTCTCTCTCTCGGTCCCCCTCTATCTCTTTCATAATATCTCACGAAATAATTTTTGAGGGGATTATTAACCCTGGAAACGCGAACTGCAAACTCTCTAACAACCGGATTGTGACTGACTGTGTGGCAAACAGACACGAGTGGAGTAAGGAAACATCCATAAGATTTTGCTCTGCCAGGAACCACCCCCAGGCACTCTCGCTAGCGAGGCGAGGGCTCTAACCACTGAGCTACAGGGCTCAGACTGCAGTGTGTGAGCAGACACAGGCTAACTCAGGGCTAAAGCTGTGTAGACTTTATTCTGGTGGAGGGTTTTGCACAGACGTTTTGGCTGTAAAGTTACCAACAAAACACTACCTCAGGACATGATTTCTCCACCAATGTATTTGCGTCCGGGAGCTAAAGCCGTTAGGGAGTACACATGGAATCATTGACCTGAGTGAGTTAAATATCTCAGGATTAGGGAGGAAGCCCCAACATTATACATGTCTGAGCCGGACACACACACACACATAGAACCCACAAACAGACACGCATACAAATACAAAAATACAAATACACGCACACAGATACAAACACAAACATACACCGTGGGACCAGAGTCAGATATACCCGCACAAGTGCACACACGCAAACTGTTTCTGTCCCTCACAGTCTCTCTCTCGCTCTCCGTCTCTCTCTCTCAGAACTTCAATCTACGTCTCTGAATCTCTCTGAGTCTCTCTCTTTCAATCTCCCAATCTCTCTCTCTCTCTCTCTCTCTCTCTCTCTCTTTCTGTCTCTCTCAGTCTCTTACTCAATCCGCAGTTAGGATACTTGGTAATATATTAGCTCTCACTCTCTCTCTGACAGAGTCTCACTCTTAGTCTCTCTCAGTCACTCTCTCTGTCTTTCAATGGCGCTCTCTCTCTCCCTCAGTGTCTCTCTTTTCTCTCTCTGTCTCTCCCACATATCACAAAGTAAGTGCACTTGAAAATATAGTTTCACTCCCAGTCTCTTATCAGTCCTTTTCTATCAGTATATCTCTATGGCTCTCTCGCAGTCTCTCTTTCAAACTGTCGTTCTCTCTCTCTCTCTCACAGTCAGTCACTCTCTCTCCAATACTCTCTCTCTCATTCTCTCTCTATATGTCACAGTCTCTCTCTCTCTCTGCGTCTCCCCAAAGCGTCGTCACTGCATTTTATAATTTATTTTCTCTGACAGTCTCTCTCTCTCTTTCAGTCTTTCTTTCTGTTTCTGTCTCTCCCCTTCTCTCTCTACATCTCCCTCTGTCAGTTTCACTCTCGGTCTCTTTATCTCTCTGAAAAACACATTCACGACACTGTACAGTGTATTTTCTCTGAGTGTTTCTCAGTCTCTATCTTCCTCACATTCTCTCTACCTACCTCAGTCTCTCTCTCTCTCTTATTCATCGTCTCTCACTGTCTTTCCCACTTAATTCAAAGTCAAAGACGCCTGATAATAAATTCTCTACACAGTCTGTTTCTCAGTCTCTCTTTCTCTCAATCTCTCTCTCACAGCAAGACTCTTCCTCGCTCTCTCTTTCTCTCGGGCTCTCTGAGGCTCTCGCTCAGTCTCTCTCTCACTCTGTCTATCGCTTTCTCAGTCTCTCTCAGAATCTCTTTATCTGTCTCTCCCGCGGTTTCTCCCTTTCTCTCTCTCTTTCGCTCGCTCTCTCTCGCTCCCAGTCTCTCTCCGTTACTCCAACAAATCACACAGTCAATACACTTTAAAATATTTTCTCTCACTGACTCTCTCTCTCTCTCAGATTTTCTCACTGTCGGTCTCTCAGTTTTACTTTCTGTTGCGCTCTCTCTCTCTCTCTCTCTCTCTCTCTCGTAGTCACTCTCTCTTTTTTAGTCTATCCCATTCTGTCTCTCAGTCGCTCACTGACTCTCTCTCACGCTCTGTATCTCTCATTGTCTCACTCTCTGTATCTCACCATCCACAAAACACAGTCACTACACTTTGTAATATATTTTCTCTCATAATCTCTGCCAATCTCTCTCTCTCTCAGTCACTCTTTCTCAATCTTTCTCTGAAATAATAAGAATAATCCTTGCATTTGAAATAGCGCTTTTCACGTCGGGAGGACGTCCCAAAGCGCTTAACTAAATATACTGTAAAGTGAATTGACTGTATATTTGTGGGCGAACGCGGCAGCCAATTGCGCACATCAATGTTCCACAAACAGTCGTAGATTGAAAATGACCAATTTTTTATTGAGTTTTTTTTGGAGGGATTATTATTAGACTCTGTGTGTAGTAAGGAAACTTGCCCAAGGTTTCGCCCTCTGCCTGGAATTGAACTCAGGTCTCTTACTTGCAAAACGAGCGCTCTAACCACTGAACTACAGGACTCCACGATTGTAAGTCAGTCTCTCTATCTCTCCCATGAAACACAGGCACTGCACTTTATAATATATTTTCAGTCTTTCTCAGTCTCTCTTCCTCTCAGTCTCTCGCTCTGAGTCGCTCTCTCTCTCTCTCTCTCTCTCTCTCTCTCTCTCTCTCTCTCTCTCTCTCTCTCAGTCTCCCTTTATGTCTAACTCAGTCTCTCTCTATCTAACTCAGAGTCTCTCTCTCTGCCTCTCAGTCTCTCTCTCTAACTCAGTCTCCCTCTCAGATTCTTTCTCTTTGTCTCTCCGAAAAAACACAGTAACTACACTTAATATATTTTCTTTTAGAGTCACTTTCATACTATCTCTCACTTTCCGTCTGAGTCTCTCTCTCTCTCTGTCTCTCAGTCTCAATCTCTCTCAGTCTCTCTCTATAACCCAGTCTCCCTCTCTGATTCTTTCTCTCTGTCTCTCCTACAAAACACAGTAACTACACTTTATAATTTTTTTTCTTTCACAGTCACTTTCATATTATCTCTCACTCTCCATCTGAGCGTCTCTCTCTCAGACTCTCTTTCTCTAACTCATTCTCTTTATCCCTTCCTTTTTGCTCAGTCTCTCTCAGTCTCTCTGTCTCACAAGAAAAAAGAACTACACTTTATAATATGTTCACACTCACCCTCTCTCTCAATCTATCTGTCGCTCACCGTTTCTCTCCCAGTCTCTCACTCCGTTTCTCTCTGAGCCTCTCTCCTTATCTCTGACTCTGTTTTGCTCTCTTAATCTCTCCCTGTCTCTCGCTCTGTCGCTCTCATTCTCTCTTTCTGACTCTGTCTCTCTCTTTGTCAGTCTCTTACACTCTCAGTCCCCGTCTGTCTGACAGTCACTCTCACATTTTCTCATTGTCTCTCCCACAAAACAGTCACTACACCTTATCATATATTTTGTCTCAGTCTTTCTCACTCTATCTCTCTCGTGTCTCTCAGAAAACACAGAGTACTATACGTTATATTTCCTCTTACATTCTATCTCTCTCTTTCTCTCAGCCTCTCTCTCTCTCTCTCTCTTAATCTCTCTCAATCTCTTTGTCTTCGTCTCTCTCTCAGTCTTGTCCACAAAACAAACAGACTCTACACTTTATAATACATTTCCTCCCTCAGTCTCTGTCTCACAGCCATTGTGTCTACCTCAGCCCAATCCTTTCTTTCTCTTTGGCTTTCACTTTCTCTCTCTCTCTTTCTCTCACAGTCTCTCTGCCTCTCGCTCTCTCTTTCTCTCATGAAGACGCTCTCTCTCATTCCCTCTCAATCTCTCTTTCTGACTCTCTCTCCATCTCTCTCTCGGTGTCTGTCATTCTCTTTCTCTCTGAGTCACTCTCTCATTCTCACTCTCTCAGTCTCTGTCTCACCCAAAAACATACTGTCGCTACAATACACAACATTTTCTCTGTCACAGTGTCTTTCCCTCTCTCCCACTCAATCTCGCTCTGCCTCTCGCTGTGTCTTTCTTTCATTCAGTCGCTATCTCAGTCTCTTTCAGAGTCTCTCTGAATCTCTCACTCTTTCCGTCCGTCCGTCTCTCTGTCTGTCTGTCACTCTTCCTGCCTGTCTGCCTGTCTGTCGGTGCGTGAGTGTCTGTCTGTATGTCACTCGGATACTCTGTCTCTCTGTCTGTCGGTCTGTCTCTCACTCTGTCTCACTATCTCTCTCACTCTCTCTCTGTCTGTGTCTGTCTGTGTCTCTCTCTGTGTATCTGTCTCTCTCTCTCTATCTGTCTGCATCTTTCGCTCTTTTTGTCTGTTTCTCTGTCTGTGTCTCTCTCTGTCTGTCTATCCCCCCCCCCCCACCCATCATTCTCTCAGTCTCAGACTATCGCTCGTTTTTTCCCTCATTCGGTCTCCCCTTCAGTCTCTCCCACAGTCTCTCGCTATGTCTCTCCCAGAAAACACATTCATTATGTTATATTTCCTCTCATAGTCTCTCTCTCTCTCTTACACTCTCTCTCTGTCTCTAATTGTGTGTCTCTCTCAGTCTTTCTCTAACAGTCTATTTCTCTTAGTCTCTCCAACAATCTTTCTATCTCAATCTCTCTATCTCTCTGTGTCTCTCTTACAGTGTCTCTCAGCCTCTTTCTTTCTCCGTCTCTCTTTCTATCTTTTACGCAAAACACACAGTCACCACAGGTTTTAATATATTTTCTCCCCAGTCGCTCTCAGTCTCTCTCTCTCTCTGTTTATCCCAATTTTGTTCTCTCTCATAGTCCATCTGTCTCAGTCTTTCTTTCTCTCGTCCGCTTTCTCTTTCTGCTTCAGTTTCTTTCTCAGTATCTACCTTTCTCTCCCATTCTCTCTCTACCAGGTTCACTCACACTATCTCTCTATCTGTCCATTGCTCTATTTTTCTCTCACTCAATCTCTCTCTCATTCTCTCTCTAAATCTCTCGCTCTGTGTCTCTTATACTTCCTCTCTCACTGCTTCGTTGTTTATCTCTCAGTAGCTGTTTCTGCCCCTCTCTCTCTCTGCCCGTCAGTCTATCATTCTCTCATTTTCTATCTCTCTCTCTTTCTTTCAGTATCTCTCCCAGTCTGTCTCTCTCTCTTTCTCTCGCTCCCTGAGTCAGTGTCTCTCTTTCTGCAACTCTCAGTCTCGCTCTCCATCTGTCGCTGTCTTTCTTTCATTCAGCCACTCGCTCAATCTCTATCAGCATCTCTCACAGTCTCTCGCTCAATCTCTCCCACAAACACACAGTCACCACAAATTATATTTCCTCTCACAGTCTCTACCCATGTCTCTCAGTCTGTTTATCTCTTTGTCTCTCTATCAGTCTCTTTCTCTCTCAGTCTTCCTCTCTCAGTCTGTCTCTCCCAGTCTCTGTCCGAATGTCTTTCCCACAAAACACACAGTCACTACGGTTTGTAATATATTTTCTGCACAGTCTCTCTCAGTTTCTATCTGTCTCTCTCTCTCTCTCTCTCTCTCTCTGTATCTCTCCCAGGCTCTTTCTCTCTCTCCTAGTCATTCATTCTCAGTCTATCTCTCTTTTTCTGTCCTTCGCTTATCTTTCTCTCTCACAGTTTCTCTCTCTCTCTCTCAGTATCCGTTTCTATCTCAGTCTCTCTCTCTCCCAGTCTCTGTCTCACAGTGCCTCTCCCCCTCAGTCTCTCTCTCGGTATATCGCTCTAACTTTCTGTCACTCAGCCGCTCTCTTATTATCTTTCACTTTCTGTCTCTCACTCTCTCTCAGTGCTTCTCTGCCTCCCCCCCGCCTCTCTTTCTGGGTGTCTCTTGCTGCCCACCTCCATCTCTCTGTCAGTCTATCTCTCTCAATCTCTATCTCCCTCTCTCAGTCTCTTTCTCTCTCGCAGTTACTCTCTCTCTCAATCTCTCGTATTTTCAGAGAATGAGCCAGAGGGAAACAAATGCGAAGTGACTGTGTGTTTTTCTTTGAGAGACAGCGAGAGAGATAAGGAAACAGAGAGAGAGAGACTGAGTGACAAAGAGAGAGAATAGGAGTGAGAAAAAGACTGCAAAAGAAATAGAAAATGAGACAGAGTTAGTGAAGAGAGGGAGACTGAGAGGGAGAATACATTATTAAGTGTAATACCTGTGTTTTGTGGAGGAGACATAGAGACTGACAGAAAAAGAGAGACAGTCACAGAGAGAGAGAAGCAGAGACTGTGTGTGTGTGTGTGCGTGAGAGAGCGAGAGAGACAACACAGAGTGAATTTATTAAAACGTGTAGTGACTCTGTTTTGTGGGAAATAGAGTGAGAGAGAGACTCAACGGAAGAAGCAGCGAGTGACTGAGATTGAGAGAGAGACTGAGAGTGAAAGCAAGAGACAGAAAGTGAGAATGAGAGAGAACGAGAGAGAGACGAGGAGAAAGACTGACAGCGATAGGGAGAAAAAGGCAGTGAGAGATATATATCCAGTGTATTTGCTGGGAGAGACAGAGAGAGAAAGATGGGGAGAGATTGAACAAGAACATATATGTGTGTGTAGCGAATCTGTGTTTTTTGGGAGAGACAGAGAAACATAATTGTTCGTGGAGACAAAGTGTAGCTGGTGTAAGAGACAGCATCAGATAACAATAATCGTAATAATAAGCCTTGCATTTGTTACAGCACCTTATCTGGACAAGACGCCTTAACATTCTGGGCTGCTGGGGCTACAGGGAGTGGGATCTCCCCAGTGCCTGGTCCTGGCAGCAGCACAGTTTACGCTGAGTCTATTCCAGCAGCACTGTAACCCTCAGTCAGTGTGTGAGTGAGGCTAATGTCTTGGCTTCTGCAGCCCGGCCTTTAATCACCAGGTTCTGGGCAGTGTATCTCTCTATTCTCTCGTTATCCAAACACTGTGAGCCCCAGACCTGGGAAAGAGAATCTCTGTGGCTGTGAGATCTCAGGAGCTGGAAATGGAGACTCTTCACCAGGGCCAGGGGAGCCCACACCTGTCAGACTGATGTCAGGCTGAGGGAGATGTGTTTGGGGTGAATTATATTGTATCAGTGTTATAATATTGTACTGGAGAGAGGGTGTGTCTGCTCCTGGATAAATGGGATGGCCAAGCCCTCGGGAGGTCTTTTTACCCTGGAATACAGCACTGAGGGAGGAGCTGCCGCCAGGAGGAGAGGACACAGGAATCCTCCGGCCGAACCACACGGTTCAGGAGAGTGAGCCCGGGTCCTGAGCTGGTGGGAAGCTCAGAGGCTTAGAGGTTAGAAGGGTGTCTGTGTGTCAGAGACTCTGTGGTCAGGAGAACCATCTCCTGTATGAATAACCATGAAACACCGAATGGCGTCTCTGAACGTAAGCTCTGGTCTGTCTGACCTGGGATCAAGTTACAATTTATTCAATAAAGTGAGCATCCCAGTCGGGAGTCAGGAACCAATCCCAATAACATCAGCAACCTGGGAATGCCACCGAAGGGCTCAGGGTGTGGAGCAGCCAGGTGTGCAGTGGAATGTCAGCCATTCACATCCCAATCCCCCAGGACAGGACTGTGGTGTGTGACGGCCATCACAGTGTGACCCACTGTTCCCTCCAGCTGTGTCATACCATTCTCCCATTGATCAGCTGGTGTTTAATGTCATTAAAGTCCTGGAGAATGGCTTTGAAATAAGAATAATAGGAATAAGATTTACAAACAGAGTAACTTACAGCAACTCTTGACACTTGTGCAGAGCAGGAACCAGACGCTGGAGACCCTCCTCCTGAATGTAGCAGTTCCTCAGATTCAGTTGTTTTATTGTGTCACACAGTCCAATGGCCTGAGACAACACAACACTGTCTATCGGTGTCAGTGTCAATGCTTTCTCTGGAGAGAAGTCACCAAATGTCAGTGTGTGTACAGAGCCCAGTGTGAGCTGTGCCAGGGCTTGATTCTGAGACTCAAACAGGTAGTGGAGTGTGTTCAGCAGCTTCCTTTTCCCAGTGACGGTGTCTGTGTCTCTGATCTGAGCTTCAACCTTCACTGTCAGCCAATCGATCACCGCGCAGGTTGTCTGATGGACAAATGGCCCAGAAATTCCTCCAGTGGCTGAGCTGCCCGTGGGGAGGAGAGACCCGCAACAAAGCGCAGGAATATCTCAAACCGGCCGTCCTTCTCCCTGTGAGCTTATTCAGGAGTTTCCGCAGATTTCCTGGATTCTGAGGCAGGAACTGAGCGAGTGCGGCTACAAACTCCTGGATGGTGAGGTGCGGGAATGTGTAGACCACACTGTGCTCTGAAGACTCTCTCTCCACAAGTTCCATGAGAAAGCCAGAGAGGAACTGGGAAGGCTGGAGGTTATATTTGATCAGATCTTCCTCATTAAAGACAATGTTTCTCTGGGAGACTCCAGTGAAGGCCATCTCACCAATCTTCAGCATCACATCACGGGGGCTTTCCATCTTGACACTGTGATGTGATAGTATGTTATAAATATAATAGGAGAAGAGTTGTGTGACTGTCTTGGGAACTCGCTGTTTGTTGCTGTGTTTCCGTGTGAAGAAGGGACCCAGAGACAGAGCGAGGATCCAGCAGTAGGACGGGTTGTAGCACATGGTGAGCAGGAGCTCGTTCTCCTCCACGTGGCTGTAAACAGCAGCCGCCACCTCCTGATCTTCAAAAAACTTGTGAAAATATTCCCTTCTCTCTTCACCCACAAATCCCAGGATTTCAGCCCAGACACTGACCTGAGCCTTTGCCAGTAAATGTAATGCAGTGGGGCGGCTGGTCACCAGCACTGAGCAGCCTGGCAGCAGCTTTTTCTGTATTAAACTGTACACAATGTCAGAAACATCACAGAGGAATTCAGGGTCTGTGCACCTGCGCTGAGGCTCTGTGTCTCTCCGACTGTCAGCGAAATCAATCCTTGCCCTGAATTCATCCAAACCATCAAATATAAAGAGCAATGTCTCTGGGTGTTTCCACAGCTCATCCAGAACACCCTGAGGTAAGGATACTGCTCCACGATCAGGCGGCTCAGTGTTGTTCTGTCGTTAAGTCTGTTTAAGTCTCGGAATTTAAAAACAAATACAAAGTGGAAGTGAGGATAGATTTTGCCTGTGGCCCAGTCATGGACAATCTTTTGAACCATGGTTGTTTTCTGAATCCCAGCCACTCCACTTACTACTGCGGAAGTCCCTGTGAGAAAGTCAGATCCGCTTCTCTGAGAAGAAGGTAAATGACTTCCTTTCGAGAAGCTGCTGTGGAACAGTTTATCAGTTCGGATTTTTTCCAGCTCTCCCCGGAGCTGCTTCTGTCTCCACTCCTCGTGGTCTCTGCCTCTCGCCAGCAGCTCATGTTCTACCAGTTCCCGGTCACGTACATCAGAAATAATAGTTAACTGTGTGTAGCGATCAACCAACTGAAACTCTTTCACCTTCTGCTTTATTAGGATGGTCTTCACTACCAGTTTCTCACATTGTTTGTGTAACGTCTCCTTGTGCAGTCGCTGAATGGCTTCATGTAGAACATTAAATAATCATAAATTAATCAGCCTTATTGAACAATAATACTTAGATTCAGTGTAATGCCTTTCAAGGCAGGAGTACTGCCCAAATCGCTGCACACGATTTGTTGTTAAGTGTAGTAACTGTGTTTTCTTGGCAAACAGAGCAGCCAATTTGTGCACAGCGATGTCTGACAAACAGCTGTGAAATGAGAGACTACTTTTTTTCGAGGCATTATTGGCCTGGAAACTGGGAGAGATAAACTCCCTTCTCTTTTAAATGGTGCCGTGGGATCTTTAAAATCCGCCTGAACAGGCAGAGAGGACCTCGGTTTAATATCCAAATGATGGCATCTCCGACAATGCAGCCCATCCCAGAACTGCACTGGATGGTCAAGACAGTCTTGTTGTTGTGAGCTTAAACCCACAACCTCTGACTCCGAAACAACAAAAGCACCATCTGAGCCAGGCAAACAAGTGTTGAACCATTTGAATTTCCATGGTAGATTTTCGGCCATTGTATGCTGACTTGTGAGAAGTCATCTCTGACTTATTGTGGAAAGATCATTCCAAATTAATATTTGCTGAAATAATTTAAGAATCCAATAAGGAACATCCCACCCCGACCCCCTCCCCACCGATCCTCATCTCCCTCCTCTCCGCTACACTACCCTGCCTCCTACCCCCCTCTCCCCTTCGTACTCCCCTCTCCTCTCCCCTCCAAACTATCCTCTCCTCTCCCTTACATAATCCCCGTTGCCCTCTGTAATCCCCTCTCCCATCCATAATCCCTTTTCCTCTCCCCTGCATATTCCGCTCTCCTCTCCCCTCTACACCCCCCTCTTACCCCGTACTCCACTCCGTACTCCCCTCTCCCCCCATACGCCCCTCTCCCCTCCATACGCGCCTCTCCCCTCGATACTTCGCTCCCTTCTCCCCTCTCTTCGTTTATGTTTTCTGAATATCACCAGTGAATGGTAAACTGAAAAACTGTATTTCAGAAGTCTCGAAACGTGACCCTGTCACATACCTCTCAGATCACTGGGGACGTCGGGTACACTACGATTAATCGTCACTTCATCCACGAGACTGGCACCTGTTTGAATAGAGTTAATGACATTAGTTTGAAAGAACGGTGACTCAGTAAAATGTGAACGGAGGCATAGCATAACATCACACATTACCTTGCTGCTGTATTTCAGTCATAATTTTGTTCAGTTTGGGCAAAGTTGGCCTCATTTTCACAAAGGATTCCCACATCACTTTCCGGGCCTGGGAACCTTTTCCCATCACCAGGTTCAGAAGGAGTTTGGAGCTTTCTCTCCTCTGCCCACTATTTGTGAGCTCAGTGAGTTTCTGCAGAGAGTGAGCAATAATATATTGAAGGTGGAGAGATCAGCAGCTCCATTGATGATTTTGCTGGACTTGCTAAGTCTCCCTCCACAAACTGCTTTCGGCTGTGATGATTCCTTTAATCATTTTCCCTCCCGTTCCCTTCTCAAATCCAGCTTGGGTTCTAACTTTCAACTCTCTAGTGCCTTGAGACTTTCTCACCATGTGAACGGCGCTATACAAACACAACATTTGTTCTCTCTTTTGCGGTTCTACAAACACTTCTTACACCACGCTGTACTGCTCCAACAGAATCATGTAGTGCATGACTTGCTCTATAACATACCTGGTATATTAACAGGTTATTTACTGTTCTATTGATTTCCTGATAACAGCAGTACATGGGCCATGCAGTCAGGCATGGTCTTTGTGAGACATGAACAAATGAAAGGGAAATGTTACAATCTGAGTGAAACCTACTTTGTGCTCCTGGGGGCTGAAACATTCCTTCTGTGTCAGCCTTGAGCTGATGTCCTCGACGCCTTCCTCAATGGCCTGTCCCAATCTGTCCCGGTAGAATTTTGTCAGTCTGTGCAGCTGGTATTCGTCGTAGAGTGCCAGAGTCTCAGTGAATAAAGTATTTGTACCTGTGAGCGACCAATAAAAACGTTAGTCAGACAATATTTTCTTATTATTCCCTGAAACATGTTTCAGGATGTATAACCAAGTTGATTGTTACAAAAGCCCAGAATAAATAAACCTCAGTTGGCCTAAAACATTGTTTAGAAGCTGAAGTCAGACAGCAATCAGCCTGGCACAGTTGGTATCATTCAAGCTCCACATCAGGGCTTTGGCTTCATAGTCCAGCCTAACAATCCACTGCAGGACTCCCCTCCAGATCTTTAGCAAATTATCTTCCGTATATTTCCCTGTTTACTGACCCACCCGCCAGTGGAAACAGATTCTACCTCTCAGTGGCATAACGGGATTTGAAAACGAGAGAGAGGATCTTCACGTCGATCAGTTCGGAAATTGGGAGCAAGAGAAGCAAAGCAATGACTGGTGGGATGGGGAGCAGAGTTTTGTGTGGGTCAGTATCCGGATGGCGGAGTGAATTGAATATTATGTATGGTGGAACTGTGGAGACCAGCAGGGAGGGCATTGGAAATCTGCAGAAGGGAAGTGCCAAAGTCGTGGATGAAGGTTTTGGCTGCTTTAGATGTGAGGTATGGAGAGAGGTAGCCAATGTGGTAGAGGGTTGATAAAAAAAGGGTCTGTTAACGGAACGAATGTGGGGGAGAAAGGAATGCTTTGGATCGGACCTAACACCTAGTATGCGCACGGATTTGATGAGTTTGAGGGAGAAGCCGGAGAGGTTAAGGAGTTCGGACCCTCAGGAAGAAGATGTTGAGACTGAAATGTGTGGGTTCAGCAAGTCCCCGATCTTCCATTCCACAAATTGGGAATTTGCTCAACCCCATCAGAGAATAACTGGCCTTCCAATTCCAAAGTATGTGCGATAAATGTGCACGTTTGTGTTTAAAGTTACTTAATAAACACTTTAGTTTTGTTCAATATCATCTCTTTATGACATTCCTCAAAAACAGTTAAAGTGAAGTCATTACCTGTTGGTGTGTTGCGGGGTGTCTGGTCCCCACCACGGGTCATAGCAATGCCCTGTGTTCTTGCACTTTGTTCAGGCTCCGTAGAGGCCATCTCACTTGAATCTCCCAAAGTGGTGAAAACGTATCACAATGTTGTTGAGGAACACCAGATGTGGTCGCTGTTTCAGTCACCCCAGATGTGGATGTGTTTATTAATGGTAACGGTGACCATTTAATTGAATCATTGGTTTTCTCGTGGCTCTGTATTTTAGAGATATGTTTCTTTACCAGCAACTTCCAACAAGTCGCTCAATTGCTCAATTGCTGCTAAGTGCAGCCCAGTTGGTCAGGTTCGCGACAGGTGTTGAGCCTTATTTACGTTTTTTCTATAGCGTCTGTCACAAGGCTAAAAGGAAATCCAGATGTGGTGGCTCTGGCAATATCACCAGGTTCGCGTTTCCAATGGACTGTCCTTCTTCCTCACATTTGACATTTATCCAGCAATGAAGTAAATCACAAGATTGACATGATGATAAATTCAGCAAATTAATTATATATGCTCAGATTTCTCACTAAAACGCAATTACACATAAATGTACAAACGATTCTTGCAATTGTTTTCTTTCAAGTCAGGAGGATGTCTAAAAGCATTTCGCCGCTTACTGTGAATTATAGTGAATCAGTATTTTGTACATGAATGCAGCAGCCAATTTCACAGAGGGTGCGAGATAGGGAGGGGTGCGAGACAGGGAGAGCGGTACAGGCAGAGCATACAGTGTGGGTCACGCCCACACTGCACACACGCACAGTCCGGGATAGAGCACAAAGTGTCTGCTCCACAGTTGGCCACAGTGAGAAGTCAAAGCGTTTTTGGTCAATGGCTAAAGCCGCGGCTTCTTGTTTTGTATTTGTCTCACAGTTTGTACAGAAAGACAAGAAACTAGGCGCTGGGGATGTGCAGAGCTGAACCCACAGCCTCTGTCCCTCTCTCTGCTGCTGACAGTCACAGCACGACAGCAAAGGGCAAAAACAACATGGAAATCAACACACCTCAAATATAACATCAACACACAGCGAAAGCTCAAACTGGGGCTGTTTGTTTCACTGACAATCGGACAGTTGTGAATCGAGATTTAGTGTATGTCCTCTGATAAATTAAGCTGAAAAACCATGGTGCGTTGAGTTCACTTATGTCACCACAATCAGGGCGTTACCCACACAGCCCAGAGCTGCAGCTTATATCGTTATTAACAGAGAAGCAGACCCTCAAAATGGCTGTCACAGGCCCGGATACAACAAGATGTCTGCTCTCAGCCACTGAGGCCTGGTAAAGCCTGGTGTGTGCCACCACCTCCATATCTACACACACAGACACACAGACAGAATGAGAGTGATACATATAGACAGAGAGAGACACACAGAGAGAGATACACGCGGACATCCATCGAGAGAGAGATTCACGCTGGTAGAAAAAGGGCTGTTGCCAGAGAGAGAGAGAGAGAATGGGGTGATACAGAGAGATTCATACAAACATACAGATACAGAGCAGAGAGAGACAGAGATACACACATGCAGAGAGACACACACATTCACAGGCACATGGTGGTATAGAGAGGGTGACATACACACACAGATACACACAGGCATAGAGATGGAGAAAGAGACACATGAATACACTCACACACAAGTGCAGAGAAACAGAGACAAAGAGAGATACAATCACACACGGAAAGCAAGAGTGGCACCACAGAGAGAGAGAGGTATGCACACAGACACACACACACATTAGCACCGAATTGGAGACAGAGACACACAGAGAGAATGTTTCTGAACGTGATGCGATGTGTGTATCTCTCCCTAATTCTTATCATAGCTGTCACAGGCCTGGATAACACACAATGACTACTCTAGACCAGAGACCTGGTAAAGCCTGGTGTGTGCTACCAACGCCGCACGCATATACATACACACACATAAACACATAGACACACATACACAGACACGTACACACACACATACACATGCACACACAAAGAGCCGATTAATCGTAGAGCCACCCACCCATATACACATAAACAAAAACACATGCACTAATGCGCATACACGTACACACTCAAACACACGTAGATAGAGAGAGAGAGAGATGCAGAACCAGAGAGAGATACATATGGAAAGATATACAAGCAAACAGAGACATACAGAGACACACAGAGTGAGATTCACACAGATTCACAGCACGCACTCACACATACACACATACAAGCACACTTTAATGCTACAGGTGTCACACACAGGCCGGGACAGGTAAGGGATACAGTGTGGGCACTGTCCTCCATGCTCCACAGTTGGCCACAGTGAGAAGTCAGAGCAATTTCAGTCAATAACTAAATACCCGGCTTCTTGTTCTGCATCTGTCTCATTGCTTATACAGAAAAACAGGAAACCTGGTGCTGAGTGTACTGACCACAGGGAATGTGCAGAGCTGAACTCACAGCCACTTGTTCCTCTGCTGCTGATAGTCACAGCACGAGAGCAAAGGGCATAAACAACATGTATATCAAACACAGCTTAAATAAACCTAAACTTATAACAACAGCTCAAAATGGAACTGTTTTCACTGACAATCGGACGGTTAAGAATGTAGATTTCGTATAAATCCTCTTAATTTAAGCTGTAAAGCCATATTACATTATGTTCAGTTGTGTCACCATAAATAGAGAGTTACCCACACTGCCAGGACTGCAGTTTATATCTTTATTAACAGACGAACAACAGCGTTTCCATAAATGAACCAATTCCTTTATGGGCCTCAGTGAGATTCAGCAACAAGAAACTGACTGTAATATCAATACACACACAGTCAGAGAGAGAGAGAGAGAGAGAGATACATACAGCCAAAGAGAGTTTGATATAGAAAGATAATTTGGACACATAGGGACAGATAGGGATACACAGAGAGAGAAACACACATAGTCAGACAGAGAGTTAAATAAAGACAGAGACAGATACAAATACAGACTGGACAGAAACAGAAATACGGTACCACACAGACAGACATGTACGGACACACACAAACAGAGTTAACCGCACAGATAGATACAGAGCGAGGGAGAGAGATACAGATACTCACAAATACACACAAAGTCAGACGGAGATACAGACAGACAGAAGATAGACAGAATGGATTATTACACACAGAAAGCCATCCACCAATTAACTAACAAGTGAATTCCTACTGACAGCTCGGTAAACAGGGGTGAGTTGTGTGTGGGGTAAAGAAACTTGCTTGAAGTTTTGCCCGGACCGGGAATCGAACCCACGTCCTATTGTTTGGGAGGCGAGTACTATTTTGCCTGTGCTCCAACCACCAAGAAATCAACTTCAATTTCAAGATCCTCTCACTCATTTCCAAATCATTTAATACCTACGCATTACCCTCACTGTACGATCTGCTTAACTCCCCTCCCACCTCCCCCACTCTCCTCTGCCAACCACTGTCTCCACGTGGCTGGCTTTGGCCTCCTAGTTTCCCCCCACCCCCCACCCCCAACCACCTCCCAGGGCCTGCGTTAAACTTTCGGTGCCCACTCCCTCCTCACCTTCAAGTCGTGCCTAATCGCCTTCCATTTTGTTCGTGCTAACTGTCACCTATTCCTCCCTCTCCCCTTAACTTGGGTGCAGACTCCTCCACTGTCAAGCGCTCCAGGACGCTACCCCCGCGTGTAGGGCGCCATGTAAATTTATGTTCGTGTTATCAGCTACAGGACTCCAAAAATCTGCAGATCAAAAGTGACCTGGTGCTGAGGTTAAACATTAATGTAAATGACGTTGAGATAATTAATGCCCTGAGCCTACCTCGGTGCTGCTCTTAGTGCCCAGTTGTTGACGGGAGTGAATTCCCTCCTCCTGGCCTCTCGCTCTCCGAGCTATCGATTTCCTGTTCAGAGAAAAGGATGTGTTCACTTGATGGTTCTGCCTCAGACACAATAACCTACAAATCTGTCTGTCACTCTGACCAACTTCTGGTGACAGAATCTCCTCTCTGAATCATGGTTTGCTGCAGTTCCCATTAGTGAGCTGGAAACATCTGTTTGGTTTGGATAAAGAGGATCCAACGCCCCAATGACCATCTTTATAGAAACTGCATTCTGCAATTAAATTATACAATCCATGTTTGTTTCAGACTTCTGACACACCACCCTATTCGCCACACTATCCCTGATATTCCTGAGCCTCCCAGTAAAGAATCCTGCTCTGTATCTGCATCACTGCCTTGGGACATCCTACCGACGTGAAGGCACTATACAAATGTAATCTTGTTGTTTGTTTTTGTTTCTTGTTGCAGAAGGGTCACCTTGGAGCTGAACTGGCTGCAAGGTAACATGCCTGGCAATGGAATATGGGAATCAAGCCAGCCCTGTGTGACAGTCTCCAGTCCAATTCCTGAGCCAGGGGTAGCCGCAGTATTGCAGGGCTCACACTGCTGATGACAGCATATCCCAACCTGGCCCAAGGGCAGGACCTGGAAAGGCAGACCGGTCACAAGGGGCAGCAAAATCAAAAAAAAAATGGGCAGGGAGGAGAGGATTGCAAAGTCGAAGCTTGGTCGGGGGCTATCGGTTGGTGACGAAGGGTGGGATTGGGTGAGGATGGTGGTCGTTGTGGGGAAAGAAGTGCCTGGTTAGGGATGGAGCGCGTGGGGTTTGGTAGGGTTGGTGTGGGTGGGAGTGGACCTGGTGGGGAGGGTGTGGGGTAGTGAGTGACGAAAAGTGGAAATGGTTCTCGGGTTGGATGAGCCCCCAGTTGGACCCCCTGATATAAACTAACTGCTGATTATCAGGAGCGGCTGGTTTATTGCTGCGGGTATCAATCCCAGCACAGGACAGGCAGAGCACACACAGTGAGTGGGCACTGCCCTCCCTGCACACAGACACACAGTCTGGGACAGGCAGATCACATGTTGTGGTCACTGCCCTCACTACATAGACACACACAATCTCGGACACGCAGAGCACACATTGTGGGCACTGCCCTCCCTAAACACAGACACACAGACTGGGAGAGGCAGAGCAGATTCTGTGGACACTGCCCTCCCTCCACACAGACGAATAGTCTGGGACAGGCACAGCAAACATTGTGGGCACTGCCCTCACTACACACAGACAAACAGACACACACACAGACAAACACTTCCCAGAGACGCACAAAAACAGTTACATACACAGAGATACACACAGACAGTTACATACACACACACACACACACATACGATGCATACACAGAGTGATACGCACACACAGAAAAAAATACATACACAGAGACACACAATCCCCCAGACATTAACATACACAGTCACACACCCGCACACATGTAGAGAGAGACTAAACACATGTACAATTTAATGCTCATATCAATCGCAGTCCAGGAAGCAGAGAACAGGTGAGCATTGCAGTTTACTTCTTGATTAATGGAGAAAAAATCAGTGTTTCCACAAACGCACAATTTCCTCCCCGGGCCACAGTGAGACAGAATAACCAGAAACTGACTAGAGCACAGAGACAGAGAGAGAGAGAGAGAGAGAGAGAGAGAGAGAGAAATATTCACACAGAATGAGAGAAAAGCAGAGAGAGAGAGAGAGAGAGAGGGAGAGAGATACAAACAAGGCCTGAGGGGTAAGGCAGAGGTGTGTAATGTTGCGGAGGTGGTGGAAGGCAGACATGGAACTGAGTACGGCAGAAAGGAGAATTGAGTGTCAAATAAGATGCACACAGGCAGTCAGAGAGACCGTGATAGAGATACAAACACAAACAGACAGATACAGAGGCTGCAGATCTGCAGATCTAAAGTGACCTGATGCTGGCGTTAAATATTTGTGGAAATCACGTTGAGGACATTGATGCATTGAGCCTACCGGGTGCTGCTCTCTGTGTCCAGTTGCTGACGGGGGTGAATTGCCGCCTTCTGCCCTCTATCTCTCTAAAAGCTGATGATCTCCTGTGTAAGAAAAAAGCAAAGATAAACTTCCTTGTTCTGCCTTAGACACTGTAACTTACAAACATACTCTCTGCCTGCTTGTCTCTCTGTCCGCCTTCTGGCGACATAATGTCCACTCTGAACCCTTACTAGGTTCCACGGTATGTGATGGCAACATCCAGTTGGTTTGGATAAAGAAGAGCCTTCGGCCTATTAATCATCTTTGTAGAACCTACAGTTTCCTTCCTACCATCACAGTACAGAGCTGCGTTTGTTCAGGACACTTGACCGCTCTCCCCTTCCAAACCTAGATCCCGCCACACTATTCCTTACTTACCTTAGCCGCTCAGCAAAGGAGCATAATAATAGTTATAATTATTAAGGGGCTACCTGTGTAAGAAGGGTATACTTGGAGCTGAAATGCTTCCAGGTTAATATGCCTGGCAAAGGAATGTCGGAATCATGTCAACCCTTGTGGCGGTCTGTAATCCGGTACTATAGCCAAACAAATAATATTAATATAATAAAAGACCCTCCTTTTCGACCGTGTCTTCGATCACCCTCCTTCCGCCCCTGCCCTACACCCTCCACAATCCCATCCCCCAGCTCAAGTCCGAAGTATTTATCATCCAACGACTAGGAAATGCGCTATAAAAATGGAATTTTGCTGTTGTCTTTGGTCACTGTACAGTTATAATTGTGATGTTTAATGTTTTTACGGCTACAAATTAATCTTTGTAACCGTTTAGAAAATAGCATAGCCATAAAGTTTTGATAAGGTTTTTTTGGTTTAACGACTAGTTCAGCAGGGGTTAAAGTAACTTTGCTGGACCGAATGAAGTCAACTTCTGATTAAAATACTGCAGCCTCAGCCAACTGCCTATCTCAAGTACCGGATTACAGACCGCCACAAGGGCTGACAGCAGGCGGTCGGAGGCTTCCCAGAAGCTGTCCATATCTCCCTATCTCTGCAAAGCAGTAAGTGTAGTGTGTTGGCTATTTCTGTGAAGAAAGCAGCCGAACGCAAAGAAAGATGTAACTTTATTTTGCTGACAAAGGCACAGTTAGCCAAATGGTCTCTTTTTGTTATGTATAATTCTATGATTATTTGAAATAGTTGGAGTAGTGGAGACGCTCAGCGTATTTCCCAGTCAAATCAATATCAAGTCTACTGCATCAATGTATATGTACAGGGGAGAGGAAATTTGCCACCAGTAAAAAGTTACCAGCAAAAGAAAAAGCGAATTAATGGGGTTCGTAAGGAGGGCTTTCTCTATTTGGAGTCTGATGTTGTTGTGGGTAGTAAACATTTTGATTGTTATCCTGGATAAAACAGTGATGATATATTATCAAAATTAATACAGACACTGTTGATGCTTGTGTTTGCATAATGGACTATTTACTTTGAATCTCTTTGTAACATGTATTGAGTAACCTGGTGTTCTGGCAAAGTAACGATGCAAAATTAGCTGCGAGACAGAAAGCCTATAATACATAGCAAATGGTTGTTTTCCAGACTCTCGTACACCCGGAGATCGGTTTTAGGGCCACTGCTCCTTTTGTTGTATGGGATTGACTTGATTGTCAAACGCAACGTTTAAAATTTTGGAGATTGCACTAAAGTATGGAACGTGGTGAAGAGTGAAGTGGATGGTAGAGGACGGGAGGAGGATACAGACAGAAATTTGAAACGGGCAGACATGCGGCAGATGACGTTTAATGTGGAGAAGTGTGAGTAGATGCATTTTTGGAGGAAGATTGATGGGAGCCATTCAATGCTAACAAAATCAAAATGCCAGTCTGTGTGTCTCCCATGAAAGCAATAAACGAATGATGCATAGATACGATTTACACCTCATCGGAGAGGTCTCGCAAGGGGGAGGAATGTGGGCATTTCGGGGGGTTCATATCTCCTATATAAGCCATAATAAAAAATATATTAAAACATTCTCCAAGCCCCCAATGAAGTGTGAATGGTATTCTGCAATAAAGTGGCGACATAGGACACACATTCTGCTGAGAGATGCACTTATCTGGAGTTATGTAGCTCAGTGGTTAGAACACGCATCTCGCAAGCGAGACACCGAGGTACGATTCCCGGTAGGGCGAAACCTTGCATAAGTTTCCTCATCCCAAATGCCTCATATTAAACCGACAAGAATAAAAAANTGACAACTTAGTCACTCAGTCGAATAGTAAGCAATCAATGGAACACTGCTGTGTCCAATTTTCCTTCGGATATGGCCCATAAATATGCAGTCAATTCACTTCACAGTATAATCTGGGAAGCACTTTGAAACATCTAGAAGACGTGAAAAGTGATATACCAAATGCAAGGATTATTATTCTATTTTAATCGATACTGTTAAAGAACAAATGTTTGTCTGTGTCTGTGTTCTCCCAAACAGAAGTCCTCCAAACCTGTGGGTCAACTCTACCAAGAGTCCTCCTAACCAGGATTGCTCCCCACAAGGATTATTCCCACCAGGATTCTTCCAACAAGAGTCCTTCGAACATGGGTTCTTCTCAACAAGGCATGCTTCCAACCAAGGCTCCTCACAACATGGAGTCCTCCCAACATTGAGTCCTCCCAAAAGGAATTGTTCATCTGAGCCTTCCCACTGAATCCTCCCAAATGGTTCTCGCACAGGAGTCCTCCCGAAAGGATATATGTACAGGTATATGAACAAGGAATGTCAGCGAGTTCACTAACACATTTTGCTTAATCTTAATTGACAAAATTCCCTGGGACTCGAAAAACAAGCCTTTTAAGGAAAAAAAAAATGTAGATGAAAGAGAGAAGACCGATTCAATTAAATTGGTTACAAGCCGAGCTGCCAGGTTACAGACAGGGTATTAGACAGTATTGTTTTAAAGGGAGTACAGGGGTAGACAGACCAATGGATTCACAGACATAGGTTGATAAGGACTCGCGGGAAACAAAGTGGGTTTCCCCACTGTGATTAAATGGTAAGGTTCCAAAAATGTGTCCATGTGCTGTGTGCGTTAACCTTTCCACATTCCAATTCAATAGGAACACTGCAGAGAAGGGAGGAACAAGGCCTACCTTGTAACTGTGCCTTGTAAAAAGGGGCAGAAGCCCAAGGTGTAGCAGTTTTGGTTCCTGCACCAAAGCGAAACGCAGAGATGCCTACCCCAGAACCAACCGACCTCCCCCCCCCCCCCCCCCCCCCCCACCACCCACACACATACTCATACACCACCCCCACACACACAAACCATGCCCTCACACACAAGAGTGATCTGCTGTAATCTGTGATAACAGGATT